TGCAGTTTGGTGGGGTGTCACTCAGGGGTGGTGGCAGGGCCTGTGTCCCATTTGGGGGAAGCCAAGTGTTGCTTTGTGAACTCCAGGTTCGTGGTGCCATTTCTCTGTGCATGTCTCAGTAGCACCATTTGGATACTTAGCATATTAGCCTTTTATAGATACAGACTAATGACCTGGTGCACGGATTTGTGCACATTGAAAGGAAATTAATTAGAATGTGGCCAGCAGGGAGGGACTGGGCAAGATAGGCTGGAAACACTCTGGAGCCAACCTCCTGTAGTCCCTCCCCAGCTGGCTGTACCTGGCATGCTGCCATGGCTCGAAGGGTGTCTGCAGAGTGAGTGGGGTCCCTCTGGCAGGTAGGGTCCGTTGGCCTGGCCTGTGGGGATCAGGCCAAAACCTGTTTTCTGACATTCCCCGAGAGGTCCCTGAGTGCGTGAGGACATCCTGCAAAGTTGCTGTTATGCAGGGTGTGGAATGCAAACACAGTGTGTGGTAAAACAGATTCATGGCTGACAGTGCCCTAGCAACAACATAACTCACAGCCAAAGGTGGAATCGCGCAGCCTCACCAGGAATTGGACTCCTCTCTGGTTTCAGGGTGCATCACCTGAGAACTGCCACTGCCAAGTCACTGCAGCTCCATATCTCCTGCATTGAGTGTCTTCCCCCGGTGGTCAGTACACATCATAGCTACTGGTTGGATGGTCGGACACGTAGCATATTAGCCTTTTATACATAGAGATAAGAAGCAAACATCCAAAGTAAGAGTAAAATGAAAATACTCACTTTTTTATTACTGGACTCTGAAGTAATACATTATACATCACAGCATATTTTTCCTGGGTATGGCAGGAATTCTAGTAAATGAAATGGGAATGTTTATGTCAAGACTCCTGCACTAAGACCTGGCTATGTGGCTCCCAAGTACAGATATCATTGATGAGTCAGTGAGCTAACAATTTTGCATGAAGGGAAGTTGGGTGAACTGCCAAGTCACTATTTTATTACCAACGAAATTTCCCTTTTAATTTTGTCAAATAGGCAAGATATACACATAATTTAAAAAACTCAAATTCAAATGGTAGATAAAGGGTAAGCAATGAAAAATGTCTATCTTCCTGTGCCCCCAATTTCTCTCTCCAGAGGCAACCCTAAAGGTCAGTTTCTTGGGTATTTGCTCAGAGAATTCTATACATTTGTAAATGTGTGTGTATCCTTTTTAAAAATATAACACTTGTACCTCTTTTACTTACATAACTTAGATGTCCTTAATATCAGTACATATAAAGTTAATTCATTTTTAATGGTTGTATAATGTACCTTTGTTTGGATGTTTGATAAATTTTTGACCACAAACCTCCTATTGGTAGACATTTAGCTTGGCTTTAATATTTTCATCCTACAAACAATATTTTTAGTGAGTCTGCTATACATACTTGGACTTTCAGGATAAATTCCTTAATCTGGAATTGCTGGGTTAAATAATGTGCATTATTTATTTTAATAGATATTTTAATTATTTTAATTACCCATCAGAAAATGAAGTATTTACAGCTCCATCAACAAAGTTTAATCACAATAAAAATTTTATTTTTCCAATGACCAAGATTTCCTCTTCCCTTCCCACAATTCAGATTCCTAAGAAACCAAACCTGGGAGATTTATAATAAGTGTAAACTGAAGCCATAGGAGCTGCATGGCCGTGAGGAGTTTCAGACAGGGCTCCTCCCCTGTGTCACCAGGCTCTCTTTCTCTGAGACATCCCCAGTCCATCTCTCCCTCTCCCTCTCTCTCCCTCTTCCTCCCTCCCTCCATCCATCCTTCCTCCCTCCCACCCTCTCTTTTTTGTATCATGATTGATAAAAATCATCAAACTCAGATGTCTTTTTTCAAGACTCCATACCGCCGAAACCGGTTTGGCTCAGTGGTAGAGCGTCAGTCTGCGGACTGAAAGGTCCCAGGTTCGATTCCGGTCAAGGGCATGTACGTTGGTTGCAGGCACATCCCCGGTACGGGGTGTGCAAGAAGCAACTGGTCGATGTTTCTTTCTCATCGACGTTTCTGGCGCTCTATCTCTCTCCCTTCCTCTCTGTGAAAAATCAATAAAATATATTAAAAAAAAAAAAAAAAAAGACTCCATACCAATAGATGGTCCCTTTTCAATGTGTGCTCATCATTACATTATCTTTCTTTTTTTTAACAACATTCTATTATATAGAGATTATGATTATTTTGTAGGTATTACATTTTAATTTTCCTTATATATTACATGTGAGGGTATATTTCCTTCAAAAATATAAATATCTAAAGGATTGTTTCCAAAAATATTTCCTAAAAAATAGTAAGTCTGTCACTGGTTTATGAATTTTTAGCAGTAGCACTTTCTAGTTCTTAAGGGTTTACTTTTTCCTGTCACTTAAGTGTTGTCTTGTTTTAAACTCCTAGGCCTGTCTGAATTAGTCCTCAATTCTAAAATTGAGGACTAATTCTAGTTTAAGTGTTTCTTCTGGAATTACATACTGAGTAACTTTTATTTTGTACTAGGAGGGTTGTTATTATGTTCTCTTTAAAATGATAGAATGAGTCTAGATTTCAAATTTAGTTGCTTTATTTTATCTATCTCTCTATTTGCCAGGAGTGTAGGACTAAGGAGGAAGAATTCTTTTAATCATGTTATAATGGTAAAATTGTTTCTGTGCTTTGGAATAAGCCATCAAAAAGATAAAATCTGCTCTGATTACCATTAACTGCCCAATACATTATTATAAGGTGTTTTATAGATAGAACATTCTATAAAAGCTACCAGTGATATTCCATCCCTGGGTTTCCTAATGGATCACTAGTGAGTTATGTGTGGGTAGGATTGGTGATTGAATTACATGATCTATGTCTAGTAAATATACAGTGAGCATGTAGTGTTATGTTTTGTTGTTTCCAGGAATCTCTTGACAATTACTTCATGATATAAATGGCATTTATTGTTACTATTAGATGCTTCCCATTTAAATCTGTGGGTAATTTGCTCACTGCTTGAGCCACACAGCAGTATGTCCTTTAGTCACTGTCAGGCCTTTGTTCTCTATTTTCATGTGTCATTTATGCAAAGAAAGTCAAAGTAATCACCAGCTATTTATGTTATTAGAAGACACTAAATACTTTATAACCCTGAAAGGCCAGTATAATTGGAAGAGGAAGTGGGAGTTGAGTTTAATTGGAGAAACTCTATTAGAAAACAGTGCATATTGTTTTTTTACCCCTTCAACAATGTCTTAGACTGTTAATTATTGTAATCAATATGACAAATAGTGGTAATTTGCTATGTCCTATGAATAATACATTAACAGATTTAGGATAACTCCTTCACTTTCTGTATAGAAATTTTTTCCTTAACAAATATTTTTATTAAAAACTAGAAGCCTGCCGAAACCGGTTTGGCTCAGCGGTAGAGTGTCGGTCTGTGAACTGAAAGGTCCCGGGTTCGATTCCGGTCAAGGGCATGTACGTTGGTTGCGGGCACATCCCCGGTGGGGGGTGTGCAGGAGGCAGCTGGTCGATGTTTCTCTCTCATCGACGTTTCTGGCTCTTATCTCTCTCCCTTCCTCTCTGTAAAAAAATCAATAAAATATATTTTAAAAAAACTAGAGGCCTGATGCACAAAATTCATGCAATGGTCTTGGCCCCGGCCTTTGCCTACCGCTGCTGTGGCCAGGGCCCTCTGCCCCTCTGCCTCAGCCCTTGCCCACTGTAGCTTTGTCTGGAAGGAAGGACATCTGGTCTAATGAGTATATTAGCCTTTTATTATTATGGATATTTTCCTAGTAACCTTAACCTTAGAATAAGTTCTCTTCAGTATCACTAGTGGGAATGATATACTTATTAGTTCTATAGGAGACATGTTTTAGATTTCTAAATAGGATATCATTTTTTTCCTCACTGGTTCCATTTTTCTCTTCAAATTAAAACTTGTGAAGGTTTGTATCGATATGTAAGCAGTAGCAAATGATATAATTATTTGGAGTGGGGTGCATGTCTCTAAACTTTATTCTAAAAAAAAAGAATAATGCCCTTATTCAAAAATTTCATTTAGAGAAACAGGATTATTTGGCTTTTTATTGGCTAATCTAGGGTTCTAATTGTGTTTTTTGTTGTTGTTGTTAATCCTCACATTGATTTTTAGAGAGAGTAGAAGGGAGGGAGGGAGAAGAGGAGAGAGAGAGAGAGAGAGAGAGAGAGAGAGAGAGAGAGAGAGAGAGAGAATATATCATTGTGAGAGAGACACTTTGATTGATTAGTTGGACATCGATTAGTTGCTTCCTATGTGTGCTCCAACCATGGCTGGGAATCAAACCTACAACCTAGGTATGTTCCCTGACAGGGAATCAAACCCACAACCCTTTAGTGCACGGGCCGACACTCATTGGCCAGGGCTCTAATTACTATTAATTATACATTTCTGAATAGAATTTTTTTGTGTTCCAAAAAGTTACAAACTTTAAAACAATAGTTGATACAAAACTCATTCTAAAATTGAGGACTAATTCTAGTTTAAGTGTTTCTTCTGGAATTACATACTGAGTAATTTTTATTTTGTACTAGGAGGGTTGTTATTATGTTCTCTTTAAAATGATAGAATGAGTCTAGATTTCAAATTTAGTTGCTATGTTTTATCTATCTCTCTATTTGCCAGGAGTGTAGGACTAAGGAGGAAGAATTCTTTTAATCATGTTTTAATGGTAAAATTGTTTCTGTGCTTTGGAATAAGCCACCAAAAAGATAAAACAGTTCAACTGGTAAGCATCTAGCAACAAAACATCTCCCTATCTGCCCACTGGAGCAAAGAGCTGACGGATGTCTGATGCCTTGTCAAGCATTATCAACTGCATTGAAAAGAGATGGAACTGCAGGGTCAATACTTGTATGAGAGAAAACCCAGAAGACCTGCCTGCTGTGACTGCCTGCTGCCAGCGGGAGACTGACATGTTTGTGTTTTCATTTCAGTGACGTTGTATGCCTCCTGCATTCTCCTGGGAGTGTTCTTGAATAGCAGTATACCTATATTTTTCGAGCTTTTTGTGGAAACTGTCTACCCAGTTCCAGAAGGAATTACTTGTGGAGTTGTCACTTTTTTAAGTAATATGTTCATGGGAGTGCTTTTACTTTTTCTCACATTTTATCACAAAGGTAAGAAATTTGGCTTCTTGTTTATCTACATGTGTTATGAGAGGGGTTTGTGGCTCTGTGGGAATTTATATGGAGAATTTTCATTAAGACCAGTTACTTTAGCTGAGCTTTTACATGCTAATAAAAGAAAATACCTTCAGTGTTGTTGTTTTTTTAATGCATCCTAACCTGATCTAATGTACCCTTACCTCCTCCTCAAATTTCGGATTTAACGTGGACCAGGGCCCAGCATTTACCATTTTTTAACAATTCTAATATGCAGGCTCTTATTGAGATCCACTGGTATATTACTTTAAAAAAAATATTTAGAATCCCCTATCTTAACAGAGGTATTCATTAATGTCCGGGGTACATAGTTTAAAGCCTTGGAATGAATGAGAGGTCATCCAAGGAGGGTATAGAGTGTATAGAACAGCACTTTCCAAACAAAGCTTTTTATGATAATGAAAATGTTTTTATCTGCACTGTTCGGTACAGTGGCCACTGGCCACATGAAGCTAGTGCAGCTAAGGGGCTGGATTTTTTTAATTTCATTTTAATTAATTCAAGTTTAAGGAGCTACTCATAATCATGCAAGTAGGGAATGAAAAGAAGGTTGAAGTTGGGGCCCGGGGTACACATGTGAAGAAGAGGGAAATCCGTACAAAGGAGGAAGGGATGTGGTCCTGAAGCCAAGTGGAGGAGTTCGCCTTGCACAGGAGACGGGAGGGAAGGCTGTGTGGGTGGGCCTGGAGGCAGATGTCTTTGCCGGGCGGAATATTGAAGGAGTTCATTCCTTATGGCATCACCGTTCTGCTTAGAAGCCAGTCTGTCTATTAAGAGTTGGTGGGAAGAAGGTGGAGAATGGGCTTTAGGAGGGGATGGAACTCTCACATAACCTTTGAGGGGCTGGAGGAGGCGCTACGGGGACCGCTGGAGAAGTTGCTGGGCCTGTTGAGGGCAGGCCCGCTGGTGTTGGGGTTCGTGGTTTGTATTTTTGTGTACAGTTGCTTGGTTTTCTCTAATGTTCTCTCTCCTGCGACCCAGATTCTGTTTTACTATTTCAGAAAATTTGGGCATAATTATCTAGAATTGTTTCTGCCTGTTAAAATAAGAATTTATGCTTGTGACTCTTTGAATAGAAAGCTTTTATTAATATTTACTAGATTTATATCCCATTTTATATCTCATCTTAATCAATCTAATATTACTACCCTCCCACAGTCCGGCCGCTATTCTCTTAACTACTCATCAAATACCAGTAAATGTGAATAAGTTGTACATGGAAGAATCTTTGTTCAAATGTAAGAAGTGCTCTAAAATGTGTTGCTCCAAGAGGCCTAATTGCTTATAGGAAGCTTTCTGACAAGCTTATAGTTGAAATCATAGCCACGATAACCTGCTTACCTGGAAAAGACATCTTTGAAACTTTTAAAGCTGATGAAACAGAATTTGCCCTAAGTTTTGGGCAGCTTTCAGCATCCTACTTTCACCTAACAACAAAAGTCATACAAACGATATATTCATTTCTGATTATAATTAACAACAAACTATATTACTTCTACCCATCAGCAATGCAGGTAAAGTAGGTTTCAGCTTTGCTAAACCTGACGTGTGCCCGGAGGAGTGACGTTAATGACGTCAGGCCACTCCTGACTGTCCTGGGAACATGTTTCCTTTGGAGAAAGTGCCGTCACCACCTGCTGGGCTAAGGCGTTTGCCTCCAGGGAGTTTTCTGAACAGAATCACCTGATAACGAGTATTTATCCGCTTTCATCTACTTCAGTTTGGTCACAGTTGCAATTAAGAGGCTCTGTGCCTCTCTTTTGCCAGGTGAAGTATCAAACATGGCTGTGTTGCCTCTCCAGGTGATAGAACCCACTTCCCAGCTCATGGGCACAGGTTTGGTGGTGATCCTTGCAGCCCAGTAGAGCATGGTTTTTCCTGTCTGCTGGAAATAGAGTCTTGTCCTCCCAGTATTTAGAAACAACAGTCGATGACAGATAATGTTTCCCCCAATAAGCCTCTTGTGTGCGGTCTCTGGACTGACACACGTATTTATTGATCAGTTTAGGGCAGGAACTATCCCTCCACTGTCTGACGGGAGAGCCCAGGGCACTCCTGACCATTGGCTTGGCCAGCAGAATATCTGTGTCACGCCGGAGACCTGACACTCCCCCAGTGTTTGTTTTGTGTCCTTCTAGATAACTGGCTGGTTGGTGTTAGAAATTTAAATACCTACGCTTTTATCTTAAAGAAATACTTTGATAAGTTTGTTTTGAGTGTGTCTATGGAAGGCACACACACATACCCCACATCTCTCTGAGGCTGTAGTCCTCAGAAACGATGTTGAGACCCTTTCACATACAATTCACTGGTATTGTCCCAAAAGTCCTGCAGCAAAAGTCCGCGTGCTTCTAACTGAGGCGTGACGATACAGAAATTACAATCTGAAAATTCGGTAAAATTATTTACTAAAAATACCTTTTAGCTCCACAGCCTAGTACCCTGGACAGTTTTTATGATACATTGAATTCCCTTGCATTAGAGTCAGTGTTCAAATGTCATAATTTAGTCATTTAAAAACTTGAAAAATTCACCCAGAAGTTCAGTGGTATGTCAGCATTCAGCTGGTAGTTACATGATTGGAAGGCCAGCTTTTTAATCATCATCAAGATCTGCGGCTCTTCAGGTCTCTTCTCAAGGAGGCGCTGCACTTCCTGATGGGAGCTCTGTCTCCCACGGCGTGCTGCCCAGGAGCCATTACGTCAGACAGTTTTTCAGGACGTACAGACTGGCCACGGTGAGCCGTTAGACCGGCCTGCCCCGCGGGAGAGGCTCCACTGGCGATTTGCTTGCAGCTCATGTCCATCGCCACCATTGACAGCCCCCCAGGTCCTGTTGGATTCTGCTTTGGGTACCTGGGACCGTGGCAGAAGTTTCTTAGAGTTGTTCTGACTTGGCTTTTTCATGGTCAATTCTAAAAAATTGTTACATACTCCCTAATTATAAGCATATTTGTAAAACTCAGGTGTTCCTATAATATTTGCTTTGAGAATCTAGGTGAGTTATTTCACCCAGCACAATGATGCTTTCTTTACTCACTCCAGTAACTTCACTTACAGCATCATCAGGGAGTGCTGTTACAGTCTTTTTATGCTCTGAAATGTATTCCAACGTTCTGTTGTGTGGTTTGTAACTTATTCTGCAGTTTGTATTAGCTGGTTTGTTGTTGTTGTTCTAGAAGTTTCACAGCAGGTTTTGGCTAAAAGCCTTAAAGGGGTATTTTTTTGTTTGTTGTTATTTTACCTCCGTCCTTTCATTTTTGAAGCAGCTGACCATGAATTGGAGGCTATACTGTGGCTCGAAAGATTCAGGGGTCTGGCTTAGGTGGGAGGCATTGACTTGTGGTTACAACAGCTTCAGCATATGTGGGCCTGTGAGAAGTATTCTTACATCTAAGAGGTAAAAGCAGGCATTATGTTTGATGGGCAAATCTGGTGGGTAATTAATGTGGAGTGAAGGGGGCAGGGTGGTACACTGTGTGTGAAACCATGTTATCAGCTGGATCCTCATAAGTGAGAATGGAGGCAGTTTTGCTAAGTCATCATAATTCTGGTTAAAGCACCATAGACAAATAGAAGGTACGGTATCTGGATTCAGAAAAGTGCCTGAAGGTGGTAGAGACGAAACCATGGCCTCATTGAATGGAAGGAGCAGGTGGAATGCACAATAGTGGTTCTGGTAGAAAAAGGTGAGAGGATGAGCAAAACCCTAATTAGTTCGGCCCCAACAACACATCACCATTTGGGGCAGAGCCAATACACCTGGTGAAATATGCCATCTGTCCACACGGTACATCGGCAGAGAAAGCCTCAGGGACAGTGTACATAATAACTGGCAGAGAACCAGCAGGAGCAGAGGGGCGAATTGCGGAACCTTGGAGTATGGATCTGTATATTCTCTAGTTAAGAGCAAAGGGAAAGAATGTTAGAAAACAGTGCTCAGTTTGAAAGATTTAAGGATAAGAATAAGTAAATCCAATGGATTAGGACTCTGTTGGCTCAATTGCGTGGTATGACACCTGGCTCGGAAGGACAGCAGTTGACTTTGCTCCTGCTAAGATAAATGACACCCTTACACAAGCCATTTTCTGATTGTTAGAGCTCTACATTGTGGTTTATGTGAGTGGCTTCCAGTGGGGAAATGTACAGGTTCACGTCTCTGACCTTTTGCTTTCGTAAAAGGCAAACGATTTCAAAGAACCCTATAGTTTACTGAGCCAAGTGAACTTACCAAGAGGTGGATTTGACTTTTCAGAGAGAGGCATAATAGTAAACATGGACCAACCCACCATGACACTAAAGAGTAATTATGAGGCATTTTTAAAGACTTCATCTGAACATAGGTAGAGGAAATAATTTACAACTCTGATAAACTAGAAGGTCCGCTTTGGCAATATTTGATCAAGTTTTGCTTAGTATTGACAAAGTTTTCCTTTGGCAAACACTTAGCTAGGTTTAAGAAGAGCAAGGACAAGCTGATTGTTGCTGCGTGTGTGTGTGTTTGCTCTAGCTCCCCATAAAAAACAGCTGAAAATTTTCCCTTAAAGTCAAAATACTCACTACAAATGGTATGCTGTTGTCAACTATTTTGCTGCTTTTTCTCTTCTTATTTTCTTACTGCTTTCTTTTTGCCTGTTAATATTATCATCAGAAATCCCGAGGTTATACAGTTAATATTAAGTCAGAAGACACCTGGTGTGCCATTTCAGGGAATATCCGAATAAAGACAAGATCCCAGAGGTCACAGCCTCTCCGAGTGGTTAGATTATATTCAGCCCAAGGAAAGCACAGAAAACAGCTTTGCATGAAATGTGATTGAAATACATGTCTGTTACATGCCACATAATAGCATGTCTGACTTTTACAATGTAGAAACTGAGAGGTAAGGAGGTGACTCTTCTGAGCATATTCCAGGGAGTGGGGGGGAAATATTCAACACCTTCTCTTACCAGTTGGTTTTTGAATTTCCATTTCCAAGCATAAAATTGCTGTTTTAGCCATATGAGTTATGGATTAAACTGTGGGCATCTTTAGGATAATTTTTGAAGATTGAGGCAGTATTAGCATTCGGTAGAAGTACAAAGGGAAAATATAAACCGATAGCAGTGCCCAAAGAAACGATGTCCCAGGGAACTTCTTTATCTCATTTGCTGTTTCTTTACATTGAAACTGCTACATGGACATTAAACTAGAGACATTCTCCCCACCACTGCCACCAGCCTTGTTATGCCAAGGAGCTGCTCACCTCCGCACCCAGCACCTCAGGATTGACTGGTTAAGGGTCAGGGTAGGAGAAGGCTGAGCAGATGCCTCGCTGAAGGGCCGCTGGAGCTGGAGGAAAGCTGGCAGCACCACGCTGGGTGTGTGTATTCGTAGCGAGAGGCCCAGGATTGGCCTATTGGCGAGTCCTGAGTTGAAGAGCAGCCTTCTTGAAGAAGCACGTTTTTAATTCCATTAAATCAGATCATAACAGATTTGTCTGTTTAGGTGATTCTTGTAGGCTTTCTGGTAATTGGCATCATACGAATCTATGATGCCAGTAGGAAAAAAGAAGAAATAAATAAGCCAACATATGCATAGTAGTTTCTGTAAGGGTAGAATTAGGATTACTTTTTTATGTTTTTCTTTCATTTTTATATATTTTCTCATTTGTTTTACAGTGAATTACTACTTGATGTTTTTGTTGAGGATTAGATGTTTCTATCCAAAAATTAATTAATTAACTAATTAATTAACTAATGTGTTATTTCATAGTTCAGGTGATTTTCTTATTTGTCTTTCTAATCCATCAGCTATTTCTAAATAAGGACAAAAGTGAGAGTGATAGAGGGCCCTTAAAAATAATTAACAAACTAACATTTGAAGGTGATTGATTTTCTTCTTTGAAGTTAATAGCTTCTTTTCTGCCACGAAAATCAAGGTGGATTAAATTGATGAAAACTTATTAACAATACTGATTAAAAATACTCCGCATGAAAGCCCTGTAGTATGTCACATGCGCCACTTAGACCCCAGATTCTCTCTGTTTATTGAAAGCCAGTTGCCAGGCCTTCAAGGGCAAGTTTATGGAAAGAGCTTTTGAATGCAGAGCAGCTTGCTCCCGGCCCACAGGTGGCGTCCTGCTGGTGACAATGGATGCTTACAACTGCGTGTTTTTGTCTTACAGAGTTGTCTTGGTTCAACTGGTGCCTTCCCGGGTCGTGTTTGCTCAGTCTCCTCCTCATCCTGTGCTTCAGGGAATCCTATGACAGACTCTATCTTGATGTGGTTGTTTCCGTGTAATAGCACAGACTCGAAAGAGTTTCCAGAGAGACTGGAGATCCATACTGCATCCTGCACATTTGCTCGGAATTGCACACCTGACGGATAAAAAGGAGAAGATGGAAACTTCATTCAGAGGTCTTGTGAAGTTACCGGTGATCGCATTAATTTAATTACTGCTAGGTAATGATAATGTGGGACTCAAATAATAATCGGGGATTTAAAAAAAAAAAAAACTCTCTAAATGGCATGCCTGTGCCCGCTGCTGGGGTTGGCAGTGTGCTGTCTTACACACAGGCACTACCTAAATAATTCCCTCTGTACTCTGTGCCAGTGCCACACGGCTGACGGATCCATTGTTACTATGAGAAGAAATAAAGGGCGTTATCACATGGAGATAACTCCTTCCCTAAGTGACATATCAGAATAGGAAGAAATGCCACTAACTTCTAAAGAAGTTTAAACCTTATATCCGATTTTAATGAAAAAAATAGCCAACAGGTATATCCAGAATAGAAATTAGCCACATGTACACTACATTTTTTCCCCTAATAAAGCCATTTCTTCTATGACTCCTTATTTCTAATTAGATCAGAAACCCCTGGCCATCTTATTATGTCGACCAACCATTTCCCAGTGACTTCAGAACACATACTTTGTCTCGACCTAAAGTTATCCTTGTTTCTATGAAATACAGTTTCACCTATTAGGCTCTGAAATGATTATATTAAAGGTGACTAAACGTTTAATGTAGTCATTAAAAATTGTATGACAAATGTAATTCCATTCTGATTTACCACTTTGTTAAAAGAGAATTGACAAATCACATAGGAAATTTGATGTCTTCAGTGTGTGTGTGTGTGCGTGTGTGTGGTGGCATAGGTATAAATCTAGCACTAGCTACTATTTACAGGGGTTACATTTTATTAAATGACCCTTGTTTGAAACTAGCAATTTACAACATTGAAACTTCTGTTAATTACATTCTTGTATTTCAATTCAGGTTGTAAAATATTCAGTTTATATGGAGTTGATGTATTTGAGAGGGCAGTATATTACCGGTACCCATTTTCTGTGTAAGGAGGATAGCTTTGTAAAAAATAACAGTAACTCATGAAACAGCTCTCAGACATGTACTTCACTGCCGCATCAAATAGGCTGTGATGGGATTACTTCCACTATTCACACTTCCATAATTCCCCTCACACGGGAAACCCAAACATTTCCCGCAGAAGTCAAGAGTGATACTTTGCCTTCATTATTCTCAGTTTCACTCAACCTTTCCTTTTTCCTCAATTTCCTTCTTCCTTGAAATTATGTCTTCCTTGTCAGCTAAATATAACTTATATTTGTTCTTTTTTGGGGGACAGACAAGGTGCAAGCCAGCTCTTTCTGTTAGCCACGGCGGTGACGTATGGTTAAGGAAAGCTGGTCAGCACTTACTTACTCATCTCTCCATGTGTGCATATACCATCACACACACTCATCCATAGTTCCAACCCTTAGTAGGTTCAAGGCTATTTATTAACTCACGTCGGTCCTGGAGGAAGATTCTGTTACTTCTGAGCCTTCTAAAATTTTAAATTGTTCAACTTGGAAAGTTTCTTACAGAAACCCTGAAATCTAACATCTGTAGTCACCTTTAAATCATCTCCCTTTTATAACCACGCTGCTGACTTAGCAACAAGAGACAAAGGAACTAAGGAAGTTGCTGAAAAGTAGAAGAAAACCCATGAAAGCTAGACTTATTTCCAATGAACTCAATCATTCTTCTTAAATAAAAATAAAATAAAACCAGAATTCTTTAAGATGATGGAAAGCCAGCCACTAAGGATACCAGTAGTTCATGCCCTAAATTAACCATCAGCCCTTCTCTTCAGAAAGAAGAGCAGAGGGAAGAATTCTTAAGTATTTGGTTTTAGTCAGATCTATTTGAGGATGTTGCTATATAAAATTTTTCCATAATGCTTCTGATATACCAGTAGAACATTTTCATTATGGTTAATTCTAGTTTTAACACAAAGTAAAGAATAACACTTATTACCTAAATGACTAATTAGTTAGCAGCTCATTAGTTAACTCAATATTTCAAGTGAGTAGTGCTTAAAAGTTCTCGCATGTGCCAGATACCAGCCATCGTTTTTAGCATGAGATGAGGCCCTCATTTATATCCACTTACCACTCCGGCAGATCATTCATTGTTCTCATCACAAATTGCAGCTGTTTTAACTGATTAAAATTTCATATACAAAATCTGATAAAAAGAGAACCAAAAAGCTTTGGGGTGGAGGATGATTACACACTACTTATTTACCTGAATATTTCAGATCTTATTTTTTTTTATCTTTGCTTTTATTTCTAGCATGCATTATAATAGGCCAGCTGCTATATTTGCACTTTCTAAGCAAGTATTATAGAATCCTAATGAAATTTTATAACTAACAGAAATCTTAACTTTCCACTAACCCAAGCCTTCATTTTAGAATTTGTAGAAATAGTCCCAGAGAGGTCAAGGATCTTGCCTCACTCTTAGTGGCAAAAGTAGAACTAAAACCCACATCTCCTGACTTCCAGGATACTTTTTTCCTACCTCACAGCATTGCAGCTTAATTTGGACACGTGGGGGAGTTTATGAATACTCTTCCATGTCCACAAACAATAGGGCCTAAGAGTAAACTGCCATTATTTTGTGTGGAAAGTACAGGGATGAAGTTGAGGTGATTATTTGGTTTTTAAGTAAAATCTTTCTATTTTCTTCTTCATTCTCCAGTTGGTGCTCTAAGTCTTAGTTTGCAATGGCATGATACAGAAAGATTCTAATGAATAGTTCAGTCCTCATAAACCAAGTCCACAACATTATATATTTTTTTTTAAATACATTTTATTGATTTTTAACAGAGAGAAAAGGAGAGAGATAGAGAGCTAGAAACGCTGATGAGAGAGAAACATCGACCAGTTGCTTCTTGCACACCCCCTACCGGGGATGTGCCCGCAACCAAGGTACGTGCCCTTGACCGGAATCGAACCTGGGACCTTCCAGTCCAAAAACTGACGCTCTACCACTGAGCCAAACCAGCTTCGGCCAAGACCAAAACATTATTAATTGGTAAGGACATGTTATACTCTAAGTTCCCTGTGGCTTATCAATGAACACTTAGTTTATGGGAAGACACATTTTTAATAAAGTCCATGATGGAGGAATAGGAACAAGACAAGTGCACACATTTCCCTGGAGGATGGAGCTAATAAAAATAAAAAGAGGGAATCCATGTATAATCTTGTATAGTTAAGCATATATGGCCTAAGGACCAAATTTTATCATAGATCACATATGCATGTTTAATTACTGAGAATGCTTACAACTTGTTGATGTAGCTCTTCTAATGAAGGATTCAAGCTAAGAGCTTTTAAATTGAAGAGGTTAAATTCCCATCTACTTAGCTTCTAATTAGTTTTGTTGCTATTATATTTATTAAAATCTAGGCATTCATCCTCCTGTTTGCATAAGTACAAGCTTCATTTTAAGTTCCAATACAAATGCATAGTAAATTTGCTTTAAATTAATGTTAACAGCCACGTTTAATTCCACATTTGTTCCTGAAATAATAAATAAAGGAATTATTATGATTATACCATATTATCAAGCAAGTGCAAAAGCTGTGATAGGAAAAAAAGTGCCATATTAAAAACATATATAAAGAAAACTGAGAAAATGTTATCGACCTGTTTGACCTAAATATAGGAAAACTAGAATTCCATTATAGTTGGGAATTATGCAGAAAGAAGAAAGATAAAGTTTATTTCTATAATATCAAAGAGTTGCTACTCTGTTAGGAAATAGAAGCAACACTTTGGATAAAGTGTTGGACCACCCTACAAGAACAAAACTTGACAGACAGGGGGTCCCTTATGGCAGCATCCACTGGGGGGAAGCAGACATCATGTTGGCCACCCTGAGCATTCATTTCCTTTCACAAGTTCTCCCAGCTCAGTTAGAACCTCAGAGTCAGGAGGTGAACAATACCAGGGCCCTTGAAAGTGTCACTTCTGGCCAGGGGATGGGAAGGATGGAGGCTGTGGCAGTCTGCCCTGAACATGCTTCTTTTTAAAACCACTTTCAGTTTGTTCTGGGCAGCACGGAAACATCAGCCTCTAGTTTCATGAACAGTTTCTGGGGCTCTCCACCGTCCTCATTGCCTGGCACCTCAGCTTTCGGAACGCTTGTGTGAGTCAGACCTCAGCTCCATCCCTGCAACTCCTAGGACTCCTAGATGCCCGATTCCTTGAACTGACTTCCTGGCACAGCGTTCTTCACACCCTCCACTCCTCGCCCAGCTCCCAGGCCAAAGTCCCAGGCTCAGTCCTGACTGGTAGTAGACGTCCCCTCTCCTGAAAGGATGCTAACATGGCCCAAACATAAGAAAATCCAGGTACTCCAGAAAAATTAAGCAATTCTTATGGTCAAGGCTTGGACGTTAGACTGTCTCCTGAGAATTACAAAGGTCTCTAACAAGTTCCTATACCTATTATTTGCTGCATTTTAGAATACCGACATTAGATTGCCTTACGTTGTCCTTCTGTTGTGTTTTGGAACTTGGTGGGCCTCCAACAATAACTTTCCATGTCAGCCCTTACTGAGAAAGAGCAGAAAGTTAGCCCACCCCACCTGTTGCGTTCATTCAACAAGGGGGCATTGAAATAAAATTCTAAAAAAACACAGCTAAAAAATGAAACAAAGCACAGAATTCATTTCAGCCACTTGGGTAAAATGATTTTTTTAAAACACAGACACACACACACACACACACACACACGTCAAGCTCTTTTGCTTTAACGTGCAGGGGTTGGTACATATTGAGAGCTGGGGCTCCAGAGGGACTGCCAGGAGATCCACCCCACATCACGGGCTCCTGGGGTTCCCGCCTGGCTCTTCCAGTTTAAAAGGGAGGTGGCTTCAGGCTCCACCAAAATGGCCAGAATGACTTGGAGATTCTTTTGATTTACCTCAAGGTTAGAAAGTG